TTGTGATATAATATGACTTTATTAAGTATGCTAATGGTGATTCACACAACTTAAATCTACAACCAGCACTTAAAAGAATATGGCTGATTCAATAAAATACACTTGACTAAACTGCCCCCATCTCTGTCCTCTTCTTTCTATACACCAATATTTAATTTCAATGTACATTGCGCTGCTCCTGTTTCTTTAGAAGCTGTATAATGTGTCCTTTATCTACACCCTTCAGTTTCTCTGTGCTTAATAATTTTTCACTTCATTTTTCGTATTTTTATTTTGTTACGAATGTATGAAACAAAGTGTTTTGACACTGTGTTTTCTCTTCAAAATCTGATTGAAAAGTTATTTATGAAAAAGCAGGATTAATCTTTCTTGTCCTGACTACTCCTCATAGACGGTCTCCTGCAAGTGTCTGTCTCTGCTCTCAACTTCTGAAATAAAATGAACTAAGACTTGCATACCAAATGTTGGTTCCTATCATCATGCCAGAACAGTCAGAAGTAGTCTATATGGCACCCTCCAGGTGCTTTTGGACCACAACTCCCATAATTGCCGACCATTGTCCATGCTGGGTGGGGCTGATGGGAGTTGGAGTCCAATATCTGGAGAGGGCAATGTTGGCTCCCCTTCCATAAGGACAATCTATCTTCCTGTTGATAAGAGTGAAACTTCCAGTTAAAGGGCATATGACCTTAGCATCTATCATTTGCTTAGAAGATGCCCTTTGAAGTTATTGGACTTCAAAGCTGACTATCACTAAGTGCAGAAGAGAAAAGACTGTGAAGTTATTCGAACCACACCAATTATCCTGTTCTTTAACATCTGCCTACCTCTTATTTATATTCCCACTTACAACCTCTGATCATCTCAAAGAAACCCAGAGCTTGATAATCACAAGGAAACAGGGGTCAGTGAAAATAACATCTGAATGCCCCCAAATCATTTGTGCTATAAGGCAGGGAGTCGAGGCATCTTAATTAATAACATGCCACTGCAGCCATCTAGAGCTCGAAAGGTCACTGGCGGCTGAGGGCATGAACTGTCCCTTTTTGGAAAACATCACTGCGACTTTTGCATGTCCTCAGAAAGACTGCTTGATGGCAATGTGCGCGCAGATCAGAAATCAGATCACCCAAAACGTTTCTTTCCATCTGAAAGGTGGCATTTAATGGTAGAGAAACCGACTTCGTTAACTAAGAGCAATGTGTTCAAAGGTCAGTCACTTGCCAATTTCTTCATGATCTTCTGGGTAAGTGGTTCACTCCCATTTCCCCTTCTGATTGCCTCATTGCAGAGATGGAACGGCAATGGGTTCTCGGGTTCTTGGTTTGATAGGTGCCTATTTAACTTCAAAGGAAGGTTTGACTACCCGAAGATGGGAGCCCCAAAATGAATCAAGAAGCATGAGAAAGCTTTACAAAATGTTATTATTGGCCTGGCAAATGATGATGAAAATAGGAACATTCTATTCTACATCAGGAAGCTTTTTCCACTTTTGATCTCCTGCATACAAAAAATTTATACATATATACTTTTGTCACATTGAGCCAATTACAGCCTCTCACCCTAACCTGCCTCACAGGATTGTTGCATAGGAACAAATGTGCAAGGAAAAGGATCATGTACAACACCTTCAACAGAAAAATGGAAGGGGGGGGGGATTGTAAGCTGCCTTAAGTCCCTGTCAGGGAAAATGGTGGAATAATAATAATAATAATGATAATGATAATAGGAAACTGTTAGAATGATCAGGAACACACCATACAATAAATTCTATTGAATTCAGTGGGGCTTACTTCTGAGTAGACATGTAAGGGCTTGCAGTGTAAGGCTCAAATTACAATAAAGGAATAAACGGTCCATGTGTTTCCTGGGGAAAAAAAAGTCGGCTGCTGAAGCATTGCAATTAAAGAATTTAAAGTGGTTTGGTGACCTTTCCCTTCAAAATTATAGGAAGGGCTTTGTATGCAAGCTTCGTCATTTCCTTCATTTGGTGAAAGAATTTTATTTTTAGTATAAACAGGACTCCATTTTTGCACCTATACACACACACAACTTTTAATTGTTCTCCAAGATGTGGATGGGGAAAGGAAAAAAGAAGATAAAGGATATTCCCAAGCAACCCCCAAGCCAAGGAGATAAGTAAATGCACAACCTTTAGAAAACATATGAAGACAGTCCTTCATAGTGGAAGTTTTACATAGGGAAGTTTTAAAATGTTTAATGTTTTATTATGTTATATATGCTGGAAGCCACCCAGAATGGCTGGGGCAAACTATTTCCATGTTGGAGGGTATGATAAGGCAAGCAATGGGGTTGCAGGCACACACTCTTGCACACTCCCTCCACTTTGCCCAGGAAAGCCTCTCTCTCTTCCTCTCTCTCTCTCTCTCTCTCTCTCTCTCACACACACACACACACACTCCCAAGAGCCTTCTTCTTGGGGCATTAGGTTCTCTGAAGAAATGTCAAGAGCCCAAAATGAGCAGCCAAACCTCCACCCTCCTCGGCTCTCTGGGGACTGGTTGGCTGGCTCAGATTTTTCGATTCATGCTTTGCTCCTAAACACACTTATGCAGAAATAAATATTGATATGGAAATTTAAGCAGAAAAAGCACTAATAAGAAAACAAGGCTTACCCAGCCTTAAAGCACCCTGATGGGCTTTGGGAAGCCCTCCCACATCCTTCCCCAAGCTGGGCAAGTGCTAGCTAGGTTTTGGGAAGGAGGACAGAAGACTCTGTGACCCTGACAGAGCCTGCACACCTCCTTCCCAAAGGGAAGTACTTACTAGAAGAAGAAGAAGAAGAGTTTGGATTTGATATCCTGCTTTATCACTACCCGAAGAAGTCTCAAAGCAGCTAACATTCTCCTTTCCCTTCCTCCCCCACAACAAACACTCTGTGAGGTGAGTGAGGCTGAGAGACTTCAGAGAAGTGTGACCAGCCCAAGGTCACCCAGCAGCTGCATGTGGAGGAGCGGAGACGCGAACCCGGTTCCCCAGATTACAAGACTACCGCTCTTAACCACTACACCACACTGGTGCGCTCCCGAGGGGGAGAGGGCACGGAGGGTGCCCTCTCAGGGCCAGGATAGCCGCTTGGGTGCATGGAGCGGTGCGCGCACCCTGCAGCCGGGAGCGGAGTCAGCCACCCACAGGGCCAGAGCAAGCCGCCAATGGTGGACATTCGGCGTGCTTGCCACCCACAACTCCCAAGCTTCCCCCAGCTGTCAAAACGAAGGGGGAATGGGGGGGTGCTGCTGGCAAAGTAGTGTAGCTCCTCCCTCCCCCGGACGGATCGGGGGAAGGCTTGGGTGTCACAGGCGTGCGGCGTGCCGAATATCACCCCCCTCAGTGAAGACACCTGGAGCGGTCCGCCCCCCCTTCCTCCACCCCTTCAACCAATCCAGGAATCTGCATGAAAAATTAAGAAGCCATGATGGTTTGGGGGGGGGTTGGGGGGCTTCCCAGCATTTTCGGGACATTTTGCGACTATGTTACAGTGGTACCTCGGGTTACAGACGCTTCAGGTTACAGACTCTGCTAACCCAGAAAAAGTACCTCGGGTTAAGATCTTTGCTTCAGTATGAGAACAGAAATTGTGCTCCGGCAGCAGGAGGCTCCATTAGCTAAAGTGGTACCTCAGGTTAAGAACAGTTTCAGGTTAAGAACAGACCTCTGGAATGAATTAAGTTCTTAACCCGAGGTACCACTGTATTATTATTCTGTTGAGGAAGATTTCAGTACTGAAAAATGCAGTTTTTGCTGGAGGGATAGCCAGTGTTAAATCTCCACACACACACACAAAAAAAACTTCGAGCATTACTGGTAAGTTACAACCCCTCCCAAGAGAGAACTATGCTGATCTTTTTAAGGGTTCAAAGTCTGCCCTGTAAATCTCCCCCTTTTAATGTTTTCATTCATTTATCAGATATTATAAAAGGCCCTTTTCACCTTCTGTTCTGGAAATTGCTACTTTGATTTAGGAGGTCTTTTAAAAGCTCTGGTCTCTATTATGTTTTACTGCATCGGTAAATGGGGTTTGTTTAATCACATATTGAGTGTTAAAGAAATGCTTTGGTGTTGATAAAATCCAGGCAGACAGGTGGACAGTAAATTTTGTACCTTTTAATAGGATTATTTCAGAGAAAAAGAGGACAGAAACAAAGTCCTCATACTATCAAGCATGCTGAGATTGGATTAATTCTTTAGAGTTGTGTGTTCAGGGAACCTTGAGATTTCTCAGAAGTTTATGACAGGTCAGTAATGGTAGACACACGTATACAAAAGGCCACTTGCCCAGCACAACCAATCTTCTCCCATAGCATCCATTTGAAAGTGCTCTAAGGCCACATTTGCACCACACGTTTAAAGCACTATGATGTTACTTTAAACTGTCATGGCTCCCCCCAAAGGATCCTGGGAGCTGTAGACATTTTCTTTCAGCGGGGGATCAGGTACAGTCAAACCTCAGTTCTCAAACGGCTCCATTTTCAAACGTTTTGGCTGCCGAACGCCAAAAACCTGGAAGTAAATGCTCCAGTTTTTGAACGTTTTTCAGAACCCAAATGTCCAACACAGCTTTTGCTTGAGTGCAAGAAGCTCTTGCTACCAATCAGAAGCCTCGCCTCGGTTGTCAAATGTTTCGGAAGTCGAACGGTCTTCCAGGACAGATTATGTTCGACAACCAAGGTTTGACTATATATATACTTGCAGTCTCTTTTTGTGCTTATTCTTTTAGTGGGTGAGATGGATCTGTCTTTTCTTCTTATTAGAATCATAGACTCATAGAGTTGGACGAGACCATGAGGGTCATCAAGTCCAATGCAGGAATATGCAGCTGTCCCATACGGGGATCAAACCTGTAGCCTTGGCATCATCAGCACCACGCTCTCACCAACTGAGCTATCCAGGCTCAGATGCGAGAGAAGGGTGATTGGCCAAGCAGTAGGCAGGGTTGATGAGCAGAGCAAACAGGGGTAACACCCCTGATTTTGTGTGTGTGTCTGTGTGTGTGTGTGTCTCAGTGTGTGTTTGTGCACAAACACACACTGAGACACACACACACACACAAATGAGCATTTTAGGGCCTTGTTTTACTTCTTTTATATTTGCTTTTATTGTTTCTCTTGAGTTCTGTATTTACCTTGTAAATTGCTTTGAGGCACCTTTGTGTTAAAGGAGCCAGTGTGGTGTAGTGGTTAGAGTGTTGGACTAGGACCTGGGAGACAAGGGTTCAAATGTTCAATTGGCCATGAAGCTCACTGGGTGTGACTTTGGGTCAGTCACTGCCTTTCAGCCTATCCTGCTACACAGGGTTGCTCTATTGGTTAAATGAGTTGGGGGCGAACCATGTATGCCACCTTGAGCTCCTTGGAGAATAAGATGGGATAGAAATGAGAAGAAGAAGAAGAAGAAGAAGAAGAAGAAGAAGAAGAAGAAGAAGAAGACGACAATTCCACTCTGGGGTAATCCACCCTCCTAACATTCCAAAATTCCAAAATTCAGGTCCATTACTAACAACAGGAAGTGTGCTTTATATTTTGCAGTCTACACATGCTAGCATTATTTTTTTAAAAGCCTTTCGAGCCTGCTGGTGCTTTAAGCTTTAAAGTAAGGAGGGCTCTTTTATTTCCTCCCTATCTAGCAATAACTCAACCACAAGCAATAGTCTCAAAATTTTCGAGAAACAAAGCAGTGACCTCTACTGTGTTATACACATGACCTGTAAGTTCCTTCCAGCTGTTTGCGCCCCCCTACCATTTCAATAAGTGGACCCCTCCTCGCTTCCCTTCACTTTGAAAGTGTCAAAGCAGTGACCACATTTTGATCCTGTGGGATCTGGCTAAAACAAGCAAGCAGCCTGTCAGGTATCTCTGAGAGTAGAACAACAGCCCTTGTACTTTAATGGAACAAGAGCAAAAGCTTCTCACAAACAGCAAAATATACCCCAAGCAATTTTTTTTTTTGGGGGGGTGTTTGTGTGTTATTTGCTTTGTTGCTGTGCACCAGAACTTGCAGTGAGCTTCCGTGGGAGATAAAAACGATGGTACAATATCAGTGTTGCAAAAACACCTCAGGCATGGGTGCTGGAACTCTGAAATGTCCAATATTTGAAAAGATGGTGAAATTTTGGAACTTTCTCATGGATACTGGGTGTGGAGCATTAGCAGAGACACAGCCCCCCCCCCAAAAAAAATACAGGACTGTGAAGAGTTCTATGCTTTCTTTCCACAATGTACTGTTCACAGTCCACACACCTCAGACCACACCACATCCCTGAGCATTTGCTGCCTGAGGCAGCCACTTTACATTGCCTATCAGGAGGGCCAGCCCTGTCTTCTAGATATGCTCTAGTTATGGGTAGCCCATATGGCACTCTGCAGATAATAATAATATAATACTAATAATTTATTATTTATACCCCCGTCATCACTCTGGGCGGCTTCCAACAGAACATTAAAAACACGATAAAAAAATCAAACATTAAAAACTTCCCTAAACAGGGCTGTTTTCAGATGTCTTCTAAAAGTCAGATAGTTGTTTCTTTCCTGACCATCTGAAGGGAGCATGTTCCACAGGGTGGGCGCCATCACCGAGAAGGCCCTCTGCAGCTCCCATCAGCCCCAGTCAGCATGGACAATGGACAATTGTCAGGCATGTTAGGAGGTACAGCTCAGAACATCCAGAGGACATCATGTTGGCTACCCCAGCTCTATGCTGTCAATGTCCTTCATAATAGAATGCTCAGAGACCTGCCCTGGCTGCCATTTGTTGCCAGGCAAAATACAAAGTGATACATTTTTTTTTAAAAAGCAGCAATAAAAGTTAAGGCAATTCTAGATTGCATCGACAGAAGTATAGTGTCCAAATCAAGGGAAGTAATAGTGTCAGTCTACACTGCCGTGGTCCCACCTTACCTGGAGTAATTTGCCAAGTTCTGAGACCCACAGTTTGAGAGGGATAAAAAGGTAAAGGTAAAAGGACCCTTGACCATTAGGTCCAGTCGTGACCGACTCTGGAGTTGCGGCGTTCATCTCGCTTTAGTGGCCGAGGGAGCCGGCGTACAGCTTCCGGTTCATGTGGCCAGCATGACTAAGCCGCTTCTGGTGAACCAGAGCAGCGCACGGAAACGCCATTTACCTTCCTGCCGGAGCGGTACCTATTTATCTACTTGCACTTTGACGTGCTTTTGAACTGCTAGGTTGGCAGGAGCAGGGATCAAGCAATGGGAGCTCACTCCGTCACAGGGATTCGAACAACCGACCTTCTGATTGGCATGTCCTAGGCTCTGTGCTTTAACCCACAGTATACAAAAAGAGTGCAGTGCAGGAATGGGGAACCCAGTGCCCTCCAGGCATTGTTGAACTCCAGTTCCCATCACTCCTAGTCACCTTGGCCAATGGTCAGGGATGATGGGATTTGGCATCCAAGAACAACAGGAGGGTGATTCCCCCCCCATCTCAGGTACAGTGAAAGCTAACAGATATTCCTATGGCAAGCATAAAATGTATTCGCTCCACACCAGCTCCTCCAGGGACAGTTCTTGTGCAATGGGATTCTTCCTCTGAAGGCAACTCACAGTTCTCAACACAATTGCACATACTCTGGGCTCCCTAATTGGTTCTATCAACAATGCAGCTGATCTCTGTTAGATTCTTTCCCGATTCAAGCATGGTTCCAAACACTTACACTCCATTTAACATAAGCGTGGTGCTGCTAGGCTATAACTCCCATCTTCTGCTCCTCTTGCAAAATCATCTAAGGCAATGGCTCTCATGACAACCTGTGACAGCAAATCCCACACACTAATTGCAAATTGTGTGCAATAGTAACTCCTTTTGTCTGCCTCGAGCCTACAGCCTGTGCATGTCAGTTTCACTGGGCTATACCGAGTTCTTCTGCGATGAAAAGAAAATGGAAAACGCTCTCCTTCCCTCTCTCTCTTCACCATCCGCTTGACAAGAGAGAAGAAAGGGAGAGAGGGAGAATACAAAATGGTCTACAAAATTGGCACGATCTGCAACAAGGGTCCCCCATGGGCTGCAACTGAAAGCACATCTACTCTCCACACCAGGGGCTAATCTTATCTGGATGTGTGCTATGAGACCTCGACAGAACTGGCAGCAGTTCCTTGACATTAAAACAGTAAAGCTGGAAGATGAGCACACCTCCCTATTTAATCTGCAATAGTGATGGAAGAATAATGGCAGTGGAACTCATTTTTCCCTACCTGCAGGTAGCCAGGTGCACCATCGTTGAGACAAGCATGCTAGTACTAATTGCTCAGGGGATGCAGGTGGTGCTGTGGTCTAAACCACAGAGCCTAGGACTTGCCAATCAGAAGGTCGGTGGTTCGAAACCCCACGACAGGGTGAGCTCCCCTTGCTTGGTCCCTGCTCCTGCCAACCTAGCAATTTGAAAGTACATCAAAGTGCAAGTAGATAAATAGGTACTGCTCCGGCGGGAAGGTAAACGGCATTTCCGTGCACTGCTCTGGTTCGCCAGAAGCAGCTTTGTCATGCTGGCCACATGACCCGGAAGCTGTACACCGGCTCCCTCGGCCACTAAAGCGAGATGAACGCCGCAACCCCAGAGTTGTCCGCGACGGGACCTAATGGTCAGGGGTCCCTTTACCTTTACCTTACTAATTGCTCAGAATGTTTCTCATGGAAAAGTTCTATCTAAAATGCACTTGGGCTATTGATGTATTGATTTTGCAATATTGGAAAGGTCAAGCAGCAGGTCTCTTGCAAGTAGGATGACCAGTTATGGTATGTGTGATGAGTATGAGTTACTCGTGTGTAAACTGGTGCCCCTCTAGGCTAATTTGCCTTGTTAAACCTTTCTGACTGCACAGCCCTTTCGAATCATGACTGTCTCAGTCACTGGCAGAATCCGTCAGTGGGCGTTTCTTGAATCTCTTCCAACATAAGAGTTGTTTGACACCCAGTCTCCTCCTCCTCTCACTGCGCGGGAGCCTTCTGCGCAGAGAGGGCGTAGGTAGCGGAGGACCTGTCCCCTCCTCACTGAGTTCCAGTGAAGAGTCCGGGAG